GTCCTGGCCTCCCTCTGTCCGCGTGAGCCTGGACGCTTCTGCAGCCGCGGCTCCCCTCCAGCATGCACACCAGCAAGGCCAGCTGCAGCGGAGCCCTGGGGCGCTCGGGGGCGCTCGAGGGCGCCCATCTTTCTGGTGGCCTTGGCCTCTCAGCAAGCCCTGGCGGACCTGCTCTGCCAGGCGCTGTGCCCGGTGCTGGGCTGGCTGTGGGGCACCAAACGCACGTGTTTAGGCTTCGCTCACACACTGGTGCCGGATCAGACCGGCATTAATGTCCTAATCCCACGTCACATCTTCCGGGTGAAGAGGACGGAGTGCCAGAGGTGGGAGCAGTGGGGACTCTGACCTGGGGGCTGGGGGCTGGAGCAGGAAGGTTTCTCCGAGGGAGGCTGAGCAGACGGCCATGTGGAGGCCACGTGGGCACACACGCGGGCGGGCGCCCGCAAAGGCCCATGAGCTGGAAGGAGGCTGTGTGTCTGGAGATGGAGTCGGGGTGGGCGGACACGCGGTGAGGGGCACAGTCCCCAGAAACGGGCTGGGTTGGGGAGGGAGGTGGGGCCGGAGTCCCGCTGGGCCTTGGAGGCCATGCCGAGGGTTGAGAGCCATAGGCAGCCACTGCGGGGTCTGAAGCAGGCTGGGATGTAGATTTATGTTCTGGCCTCCATGACTCTGGTTTTTGATGTTTGTTGAATGCTTTCATCCCTTCCCAAAGCCTTTCAAATGCATCAAACTCATAGCCCGTGAGGAAGCAGGCCCAGGGGTGTTGAGTGGGCCGCTTGCTTTGAGTCAGCCTCTGTGGCCTTTGGGGTTCTAGCATGGGGGCTCTGGGCCCCAATCACAGCATCGCCCGCTGCATTCTGCTCTCAGGGCCCCTCTCCACTCCCAGAGAAGCTGAGGTACAGGCTTGGGTCCTGGAGGAGGGGAGGGAAGCGTCCTCGAGGTTTAGTGGAATCGAATCCTTGTCCTTTTCACGCTGGTGACGTTCTCGCAGCAAGAACTCAGCCTGAGGAAGGACCTAAGCTGTATGAGGTGGGGATTCGCGCAGAAGACGGTTTTGGCTTATTGACTCAATGAGTTGGTGCCGCCGCCACCAGCACCGCCGGGATCCCCACCGCTGCTTCCTCGGCATTGGGAACTGGCTGACGCGCCACCTGGTGGCTGTAGACGGGCATTTTATCCCATTTCGACAGCCCGTTGCTCAGCCTTCTGGGCTTCTCCATCCTTGGCACTGATGATTAACAGCCCGTTTCAGCCTTCTGGGCTTCTCCATCCTTGGCACTGATGATTAGTGACAGCATAGGTTCCTGGGCCCCAGATGTACAGAGTGAGTTTCAGGTGAGGTCAGAATAACTCTGAGACAGGGCCAGTTGCAGACAACTCCTTTAAAAGACCTCTTTACAAAACACAAGTATCGTGGCTTTACAGGCCACGTACCGTGCTCAGGACTTCAAAGCATTTTATTTTGCTTAGGCCTCATCGCAGACCTCACTTTACAGATGAGTGAGGCTCAGGGAAGTTAAGCACCTCACCGGGGGTTGCCTTGGAGGCAGGCACGGGGGTGGCTAGTAAAAGACGGGGCGGGGGGGCTGGGGCTTTCCTTCTTGTCTACCCCTCAGCCTGAGGGACAGAGAGTGACAGTGGCTCCTGTAAGATGAGACTTCTCCGTTGCAGACCATCCTGAAGATCCTGGTTTCCGGGGCTGGCAAGTCACGGACAGGGGTGATGATCCCCATCCCGCAGTACCCCCTCTACTCGGCAGTCATCTCTGAGCTCAATGCCATCCAGGTGAACTATTACCTGGACGAGGAGAACTGCTGGGCCCTGAATGTGAACGAGCTCCGGCGGGCCTTGCGGGAGGCCAGAGACCACTGTGACCCAAAGGTGCTGTGCATCATCAACCCCGGGAACCCCACAGGTGTGTGCTTTACTTCCTCGCCAGTTTCTTGCAGGGCAGGGGCCCAGGGGACTGAAAACTAAAGAGTTTGTACTCGTCTGAAAACTAAAGAGTTAAGAAATAATGCCAAGTCCCCCTTGCTCCGGGTTTCCCAGTCCAATTCCAGATTTGCTAACAAGAAAGCCCTAAAATTCGCCGCAGGCCACCTCAGGCGGTGAGCCAGTCCCGGCGTTTTCGTGTAGACAGGGTCGTATTATTTTAAAAAGGTCATTTTCCCCCTCGCATTCGCAGCCTCCTCCGTGAGGTCACCGCGCGTGGCGGGGCTCATTTTACTGCCGCTCCTCCTCGTTTTTCTGAGCCAGCTTCCAGCATGCCGGTGTGTGCGTTTGGTTTCCTTTGGCACAGCATTGCCATGGACCTGGAGGCCTGAAAAGAAAGCGCTATATTAAACGTAAAAGCAAAAACAAACAAACAAACAAACACCAACAGAAAAACCACACACACACTCCGAAAACCTGTTTCCAGAAGCTGAAATCGCTTCTAATTTTGCATTTTTTTTCTTTTCTTTTCTTTTTTTTTTTTAAGTACAGTCCTGCCTGTTTTGGGCTTTCTGGGCTGCTGGCTTCAAGGGCCCCACCCTGGTTGGAACTGAGAACAAGGGCCCCTCTCTCTTCTCCTTTGTGAGATAAATTGGGTCAAAGCCAAAACGCCTTGGAGTTGATTGTGGAATCTGCTTCCTAGGAACATGAAATGATGCTTCCATCAGCTGAAAGCACCACTTGAATTGCTGAGTGCAGACCGTGGGTGCAGCTGGCTGTAACTGGGGTGCCTGTTCCAGCTCCTGGGGGGAGGGATGAACATTCTAACCCAGAGGCATCAGGAAAATGACACAGCGCTGGCTTCTCCATCCTGGCTGTTCATTAGCATCACAAAGGGAGCTTTGAAAAATGCCAGAGGCCAGGGCTGCACCCCAGAATCTCTGGGGAGGGGACCGGGCATCGCTTCTGTGCAGCTGAGGATGAGAAGCAGGGCCAGCAGTTCTCGGGTTCCAGCTAAAGAAACCAGCCGCTGGACCGCATTGATTCTCCCATGCAACTGGCTAGGGCGGGGCTTGAGAATTTGTGTTTCTAACAAGCTCCCAGGTGACGCTGCTGGCCCCACCCGTGGTCTGTACACCCGGTTTCTGGTAGAGGGCCCATAACTTCTTGGCCAGCTGTTTATATAACTCTTCACCTGATCGTCTGGGAAGAAATAAGTGTTCCTTATTAAAACAGGAAAGACACTTCCCTGTTTGCGGAAAGGGATCATGTGAGCCTATGTTAATATAAGCAGTTTCTATAACAGAAAGAGTAACTTCGTGAGAGGGCAAAGGCCGGTCTTAACGGGCGAAAATCAGTCAGCTGTTGGAAGAGGAGGCAGGGAGAACAGGAACCCACGTGTGATGACAGTGTGTCTTTGTTGGGGCCACACGCTGTGACCACTTGGCTAGAAGGGGTCAAAATGGATGGGGACAGCAAGGCAGAGCCCTTCGGGTTTCAACATGGAAACCCAGCTCAGGGCGGTGGGGGGCGGACCATGGAAGCGTGAGGACTGGGGCTGGAGCCCCACACTTGGATCAGCCTCGTGTCCGAGGCACCTCGGCCAGGCTCTTGGCTCTGCTGTCCTCAGGGCTGGAGTCCTCCTCAGGAAGGACCTGTCTGTCTGTCGGAACGGTGGCAGGTTCCTCGGAGAGACCAGAGCCGCTGCCTCCCAGAACCTCAGAACCCCGGGCTTCAGAGGAGGCTTTGCTGGCAGGAGACCCATGGGCCCGTAGGAAAGAAATACCTTCATTACTTAGATAGTTCGAGGCCGAAATACAAGCTGAATCATCGTGTGCTTTTATAAGTTATATCTATGTGTTTTTCAGACATTCCTGATACTCTCGCATAGGCAAGAATATAGGTCTTTATTTTTACTTTTTGGCATTGTGTTTTATTTTATTATTAGTTTCAAGTCTCTAGTACATGGATTAGACATTTATATAGTTAATGAAACGATCCCCCCGATTGCTCTGTCTCCCTCTGGCTCTGCACACAGCTCTCGCCTGACTGCTGACCGCGACCCTGCGCCGTGCTCCCCTGCGCCGTGCTCCCCATCCCCCTGCTCCCCATCCCCAGGACCATCTATCAGCTACTGATTTGTGCTTCTTTAACCCTTCACCGCTTTCTCCCAGCCCCCGACCCCCCTCCCCTCTGGCTGTCATCAGATTGTCCTCTATATTTGTGAGTCTGTTTCCTATTAGTTTGTCCTTTATGTTCCTTAGATTCCACATGTAAGTGAAATCACATGGTATTTATCTTTCTCTGGCTTATTTCGCTCAGCATAATAACCTCTAGGTCCATCCATGTCGTTGCAATATGTCTTTATTTTTAACAACAATGTAACATACTTTCCATACTGCTTTGCATCAAGATATATGTGTGTATGTAAATAACATATGTGCGTATATATACATATGTACACGTGTAGGTAATACACCTGGATCCAGGGATACACCTGTACGTAGTAAAGAAATGGTCTTTTTAGAGCTGTCGGGCTTTGATTTCTCTCCTTCGGCTTATTGTCTTGCTCTTTATGACACTCCTTGCCTTCCTGTCATCTAGCACAGACAGACAGACAGACAGACATAACCCTCAACCACACACACTCCTCACATAAGAATGACAAGACCCCTCCACCCACCTGGTTTACCTGAGTTGGAGGGCTGGGGCGGACCCTGGGGCATCGCTGGGGGTTGACTACACCCCCTCGGGCACAGCACCTAGGGAGAGTGGTCCCTTAGGGTCGCCAGGGACCATAGGACACCCAAGTAATTCTGGGTGGGCTTCTTACCTCGGGACGATTTAAGAAGCATTACAACCGACATTCTGGTGTCATCGGGGCTTTTCTAGGTCAGGTGCAGAGCAGGAAGTGCATAGAAGATGTGATTCACTTTGCGTGGGAAGAGAAGGTTTTTCTCCTGGCTGATGAGGTAAGAGCTGTACCAGCTGTCCCCTCAGATGTCCCCCACGGGGAAGGCTCAGGCCCGATCGAACGTCCTAGGTGTTGGAAGAGAGATTCTGCCCTAGGATGAGGATGCTCAGTGTTACGGCCTGTGAGACTGGCCTAAACCATCCTTACATTGGTCTGGACTCCTGGTTATAAATTTCAGAACTCTAACCCAAACCACTTAAACTTAAAAGAAAAAAAAAATTGAAAGGAGTGGGGTTGCAGGCGTGGGGCTGGATCTAGGGGCTCAAAGCCCATCTTCCAGATTCTCTCTCATTCCGTCCTGTGCGTGGGCCCCATGCACAGCCTGTCTTTCCAGCCGAAAAAGAGTGTTTGTTCCTGGTGGTCCCAGCCTACCCGGC